AGACGATGATGGAGGCTGGAACTACCACGAGCTGACCCAGTATATTTTCCAGGAGGCTCATCACGGACACCTGCACTTGAGGTTCCTCTTCGAGGAAACCTATGGAGGAGAGGGATTCGGACGAGCCCCTTTTAATCCATGCCGTGTGTGCGGGCAAGATACCGCACATTGGCAGGGATGCTTCTTCTGCCGAGCACGTATCGCAGCCGCTTCGAAGGATCAACAACTAGCCATGGAGGCCGAATGTGTCCGCCCGGAGCATTTTATGCTCAGTAATGCCCCCTGTGCCAAATGCATTGGCAAGGAGTTTTTATGTAGGTTCCAGAGGAGCTTGCAGGTTCATCGTTTGGAGTTGCTGTAATTCTATCCCCAGTCCTTCCTATTCTTAGAATAATAATAAATAATAATGATAGTTACAAAAAAACAACAATATAAAAAAAAAAAAAAAAAACAAACACACACAAAAAAATAATAATAATAAATATATATATATATGTAAGGTATATATAACAAAACACAAAAAACACAAATATATATATATGTATGTAAAATATATATAACCAAACGCAAAAAACAAACAACAAAAGAAAACACACACATACAAAAATAATATAACAATCTTGACAAATATGTAGAATGATAAGACAAAAAAAACACAAAAAGTATACTCATACCAAAAATTGCAGTAGCGTTCGGAGAACGCTAGTCCCTTGCTCTATCAGCAAAGGACTCCGAGGGGTGGGCATGTCACGTCGATACGAAAGAAAAAGTACGTGACAAATTATAAGTTATGGTAACAAACCGGGTATCGATAATTTAGTTTTCTATTGTACCAACCCTCCCGGGAAGGTTTGTAAATCTATCTAGCGGGATAGATTAGTCTAAGCACGTCTCCATAATATTTCCACGAATATTACTCACCACATATTAAATTAGCGAAAACACAGGAAGGGGCATCTCAGCCTACGGTATACAAAGGCTGGATTGGAATTCGCACAAGCAGTATATAGTATACAGTACGCAGTACACAGTTGACGATTCAGCATTTTGGTAGTTTCGCAAAGTTATTTTTTAAGTCTAACTATCTGGCTACTTAGAACCGGGATTATACTCTGTTAAGTACTATAATTAACTTTAAACAATAAACCTTAAATGAAGCGCAAACACCTGAGACTGTTCGTAAAAAACCTCTTCTGAAATCCAATCCTAATAAGGTAAGAAACTATTTTATCTGCTTAAAACGCCCTACGTATAATAAAGGCGCTATCCCTTTAACCAACCTCTGCTTAACTCCTAACTAAGATCCAACCTTTACCAACGCGACATTACTTGAATATATTATTACGTCTGGCTGTAACATCTCCTCGCCTAGACATAACAGAATCTTAGATAATTAATCTAATAATTGCATTATAAGATTAGGAAAAACCGTTACAAATATGAAAAATTAGTTATAATTCAAATTCTATTAATTAATTTAAATATTTATTTTTAGAAAATACTTCCAAATTTAATCAACTATAAAGTTATATAAAAAAATTGAATAATTTTCTATTGTAAATATTGTAATATTACGTTAATTAACTTTATTAGTTAATAACTTTTGATGACACTATTTGCGATAATTGTATATTGTATAAAATCAACGAATAACAAATTTTGTAAAGTTTACATGTGTTAAAAGCTTAATATTAATGGTTATTTACTTGTAAATTAAGAAAACTCATTTCTCAAAATTCACGAATGTCTCTCGAATGTTCGATGACATCTCTCGTGCAAAAATAAGCGGGAAAATCTATGTATAAATACGCCCACCTTTGCACAGGCTAGCATTCACTTCTAGCCTTGCAAGGTGAGCATATGAGTCTGAATAAACTTGGTTAATACCTACTAAGTTCTTTCTCTCATTGTGATTAACTGAGCAAGACTGTTCCTTCCTTATAATTCGAGCTCGACTTATAGAACATCTCGCACCATAAGAAACTAGGGCATTGTCTGACTTTCCCTGAAACATTATACTTCTTTATATTTGACTTATTTATTATTATTAGAGTACGTTTGATTTATTTATTTATTTTATTGACAAATAGAGTAAAATTATTATTAGAAACAAATTCTTACTCATTAGCTAGACACGAGAGTTCGAATTATTATTATTTATAAGTGATACGAACATCACATTCATCTTTGGCTTTATTTATTTCATTGTTATGTAATGTAATACAATTCGTGTAATTATATTTCTTTATCTTATTATCATCATCATTTCTCTATTTCACATAACTTTTCCTTCTATCTACATGAAAGTAGAAAAGCTTTAAAACGTAATAATTATTTATTATTAGTTTTAGGTGTAGCGCATAAAACTGAAATGAAATTGAAATATAGTTGTAACTAAAACGAACATCGCAATTTAATTTTTGAGATCGCGGCATTTGGTCGAAAAAATTGGCGGTAGAGGGTTAATTTCTTTTTTTCTAGAAATGGGCATGGACCTTTTGTAAATTTAGCTGCCAAAATGTAGTGGCTATACGTCTAAAGAATGAAGTTGGATCCTTACTGATGAATCTAATCCAACAGCACAGGATGAAACGCCTTTAATTTTTGGAATAAATCTCATTTTTGAATCTTGCGAACTATAGCAAGCAAAATAAGTAATAATTATTATTTTTAGGTTGAGCTCATAAAACCGAAATGAAATTAAAATATAGGTAAAAAAGATTTAGTTATCCAATTTTTTCTTAGTTGCATGATCTGTTGCTTAGATCTTTTACTTTCATCTTCTGCTTTCTATATAACCTGTCACGTCGATACTAAGAGAACGCACATGACGGACTATGGTAACTAATCAGGTATCGGTAATATAACTTCCTATCATACTAATTGTCAACTTTCCCGGGAAGATTTGTAAATCTAGCTAGCGAAATAGATTAGGCTAAGCACATTCTCCATAGTATTACCCATCACATCTTAATTTGGCAAAAAAGCAGGGAAGGGGGACGTCAGCCTATAGTATAAAAAAGGCTGGATCAGGATCCGCGAATAGGCAGTAGTAGTTTAGTAATTCTATAGTATAGTACTATTGTATTATTTCTATGTTTAGCTACCCGGTTATTCAGAACCTGAATTGTACTCTAAAATTGTTCTTTCAAATAATAAATCTAAATCAAGTATAAGCACTTGAGACTCATTCATAAAATCTCCTCTAAAGCCCGATCCTAATAAGGTAAGAAACTTAGTTATCTACCTAAACACACCAGATATAATAAAAACGTTATCCCTTTAACCAATCTCTGCTTACCTTCTGACTAAGATCCAACTTTTACCAACGCGACAGTATTTTAAACATTATTGCGTCTAGCCATAACATTTCCTCGTCTAGATATAACATTCCTCTTTAGTATCTCAATTGATTAAGTTATTAACTCATTTGGATCGTTTATATTTTGAATTTCAGACTAGTTTACTTTTTTTAAATATTCCAATTTTCTATCGTAATATTTTCTTAACTTTTCTTTTGACATAAGAGATTTTCTTACACTATACATACAGCGTCTTGCATGTTTCTTATGAGATTTGACAAATATTTATTAAACGATGAAATCTGTTTTGAAATTTTTTATAATTCATTAAATGAAAATTTGGGTGGATAAGCACAAAATAGTTTATGTAGGGTAAATCTATTTAGACGCTGGTACTACAATGGAATTACGCTAATTCTGATAGTCTATCCTATTGAATATTTAAAAATTTTATTTATTGGAAAAATTTTGCAAATATTTTAAAAGAGGATGATGGACTCTTTCTAGAAATCATTCGGTCGAGAGGGAAATGCTGTCGTTTTTACTTTGGAAAATTTTAATATGAGTGCAAGAGTTTTTAGAATTTTGTTCGCGAACACGAAAGCGTCTTTACTAAAGAGTGTTTACTAAAAGAATTAGGATAAAAAATTAAAGGATAGCTAGTTAAAAGATTTGAGGTGTGGACAGTGATTCAAATTGGACATCGCATATTTGACCCTCCAAATAAACGCACTTTCGCGAGTATTGTCATTCTACTATCTGTTAACGATGGGATGTATTGTCTTCTCTATAATTGGAACTCTATGGACTGCTTTGCCTTGTATTGCTACGATCAATAATAATTAAGAACCATTGATCCCGGTCTTTTATACCTATATCTGAAAAACGAAAGCGCTCTCTCTTTTTTTTTATAATTTTGGAGGTAGAGGATAAAAATAGCCAATGAAGTGTCTCCACGAGGGTTATTTGCGCAAATCGGTATAATGTGTGATATCAGTACATAATTAGCTACTAACAGGTACCAGTCGAGTAAATAGCAAACAAGTATTATTAATAATCATGATGATAGCACAGGTTTACAAAATAAAAAAAGTTGATGCCTATTTGACCAGACCATATAACTTTTATGTATTTCGATGCGCTGAATACGAATCCGAGGTCCGTTGATCTCCATCACGTCAGGTTCAAGGTCTTTCGAAGGTCAAATGTATTTAATACAACGGAATTTAAAATTTGACTACGGATTCGGAAAGAGCGGGAAATTTTACGTTCAAATACATATTGTTGGTCTTTTCCAACATGACCTTTAAAGGACATCTAGAGCTCAAACAAATAATAAATAGACCTTATTTGCTTTTTATCCATATGAACTAGTTTTTGAGACATCCGATGGGCTTCTATTGTATACTGTCATGTATCTTTGTATTCCGAATACAAACCTGGAATCCACTTGACCTCATCCAGTTAGGATCAAGGTCATTTCAAGGTTAATTCGTTAATTTTGCACAAAAAAACAAATATAACCCTAGTCTTTGAACCCTGGTTGCTTTAACACTAGAGCCCTGCAACTCTGCGTAACTATAACCCTGGACTCTCAACCTCCGATCTCCGTATCTTAATTTTCTCAGCCCCGAGTCCGGTAACCTGCAACTCTACAACCCCGACCTTCACATCCTAATTTCATGAGCCCCTGATGCGATGAACTTCGATCTATATCGCGAAAGGCTTTTGAGCGTACAGAGGCGAGGGGCCTTGAGGACATCTAGCGCATACTGGACGGTCTCGAGGGAAGCTATTCTGGTTGTCGATGGTGTAATCCCCGTAGATTTTCTTGCTAGGGAGCGCAAGAGGATCTATGACAGAAGGTTAAACGAAAATAAAGTAGAAGTAGCCAAGGAGAAGAGTGATAGAATAATAGAGGTATGGCGAGAACGGTGGTCGAGAGATGGTAAAGGAGTATGGACGAGAAGCTCAATTCCTGACATTAAGGCGTGGATGGAGAGGAGCTTCGGAGAAATGAACTTCTACCTTACGCAGATGCTTACGTGCTATGGGTACTTCAAATGCTACCGGGATTCTCCGAATAGTAAAGTAGAGAACAGAGTTCTAGATAAGAGGATTCGCTTGCTTTTTACCAGCGCATAAAAAATCCCAAACATGGCATAGCAAATTCTACACGCCCCGACCTTGATATTCTCGAAATCGAATTGAAATCCAATCGAAATTTAAGATCTTCTAACTTTCTAAAGTCAGTTAAAGGTATGAAAATCAGGAAATCTCTGAAATTTATATTAAGTATTTCAATGTCATGGTGAAACAATCATTTTTTATGATAATCTCATGGAGGGTACTTCTTAACATCGAGGTTTATGTCTCTTACTCTGTTAAGCCACCACTCTTCAATGTAAACGTGCTTTCTTGCTAGGTCTACATCTTTCATCGAATGTTCTTTTCAGCGCTTTTCTCTTGTGCTTAACTGAAGTATCCCTCTTAAGGTTCCAGCAGTAATCTGACATCCCAAAATCCTTGATAGCGCCTTTCCATCTCTTTAATGTCTTGATGAAATCTTTCACCTTGCTCTTCACTATAATCTCCTAGATTTTCTGGAAATTTGTCCAAATGAGAATCTAAAAAGTGGAGCTTCAGACTCATGAGACATTGAACAGCTTTGTAGTTTACGACCAAGTCGTTGACTATTTCTTTATAATTTTGATCTCTGTTGTTACCTAAAAATTTCGTACAAACGTCAATAAAGCTCTGCCAAGCTTTTCGTTCATCTTCTGACATTCTATTCGGGAATTCGAGATCTTTTATGAGTTCTCTTATTTGAGGTCCATCAAAAATTCCCTCTTTGAGTTTTGCTTCGGATAACTTTGGGAATTTCAAGAAGAGATATTGAAAAGCTTTACTATCTCTTTTCTTTAAAGCTTTTACCAGCTGTTTAATCAAGCCTAATTTTATATGAAGAGGAGGCAGTATTATTTTATCAGGATCAACCAATTTATTGCATTTGAGATTTTTGTTCCCTACAACAAAACTATCCCTTGCTGGCTACTCCTTTACATCATAATGCTTTTCACGAGCTCTGCTATCCCATTCACATAGAAAACATGGGTATTTCGTAAAATCAGATTGTTGTCCCAAAATGATTGTTTCAACTTTTAAATCCGTGCAGATTTTCCATTTATACAACTCGTAATTAATTTCATTAAGTAAATATTCCATATTCACGTAATTTTCATCCATTGTCGTAGAGTGAGCCAATGGAACAGAAGCTAGTTTATTTCCATTGTTTAGTAATACAGCTTTAAGGCTTCTCTTAGAAGAATCAATAAATAACCGCCATTCTTTAGGATTATGTTCAACTCCAAATGTTCTAAACAACCCGTCTATATCACTACAATATACCAAAGAACCACCTTAAACAAAATATTTTCGAAAAAGCTCATCTCTGTTTCTGTAGTATGTTACTTTTGTTTTTTTGTGTAAACAACCTTTTTCTTTCAGCCGTGATGCCAATAGTTCCGATTGCGCTTTAGATAGCCCTAAATCTCTTACCAAATCGTTGAGTTCACTCTGATTGAACTTTGAAGGGGTTATCTCATTACCCGTTGTACTAACATCACAATCAGTTTCTTCGTCATCTTTTTCGTAACATTCTCGGTCATTCATTTCATCATGTTCTGCGTCATCTTCTTCTTTATCTTCTTTGTCATTTTCTTGGTTCGTGTTTCCCAAAGATTCTGTAATGTTTTCATCACTTATATCGATTTCCATTGCTTCATCTTCATCATGACTGATATCGCTTACTAACTAAGACTGGCATTGTGACAGACAAAGTAGTTGTGTAAGGCACAGATCGAATGTTTCTTGAATTAAATCCAAATTTGGTGTTTATACAAAAATAGCAATCATTATCATGATCTCGAGGTGCGCGCCAAATCATAGGCGATGAAAATATCATTTGTCGCTCTCCACTTTTCCAACGTCTTAAACGTGAATCGCAAACTCGACAGATGAGTTTTGGAATCCAGGGTTGGTTTAGATCCACATCAGTGGTTTTAAAACACTCGTCGTAGATCATGCGAAGTTTCTTAGAGAAAGAAATTAAGTTTCTATGAACATTGTATTTGCCGCAAAGAACACAGAAACTTTTTGAGCACTCATCCATTTTTGCAGATCATAAATCAAGTCCTGCTGTATTTGTACAAAATAACTAAACAAAAACTGGAGTAATCGCTGCTGCACCGGATATCCAACTATCCTGAAAAGGACCGTCGGACGGAGCCGCTGCTGTACCGGATATCCAACTATCCTGAAAAGGACCGTTGGACGGAACCACTGCTGCACCGGATATCTAACTATCCTGAAAAGGACCGTTGGACGGAACCACTGCTGCACCGGATATTCAACTATCCTGAAAAGGACCGTCGGACGGAGCCACTGCTGCACCGGATATCCAACTATCCTGAAAAGGACCGTTGGACGGAACCACTGCTGCACCGGATATCCAACTATCCTGAAAAGGACCGTTGGACGGAACCGCTGCTGCACCGGATATCCAACTATCCTGAATAGGAATTTCGGACGGAGCCGCTGCTGCACCGGATATCCAACTATCCTGAAAAGGACCGTCGGACGGAGCCGCTGGTGCACGCTTATAGTTTATAGGACTCGGTTATTAAGGAAAATGTAGTATTAGGGATTTGGTGTAAGATGTCTCAGAGTTAAGTGCTGGGGAGTTAAGAACATTGGAGTATGGGAATCGGGTCTTAGGATTAAGTGCTCGGTGGTTATGGAATTGAGGGTATGAGGGATTGGTTCAAGGCGTTTTATGGTCAAGTTTCTGGGGTTTTAGGAAATTAGGATGCGGAGGTCGAAGGTCATAGAGAGTTGCAGGGCTCTAGTGTTAAAGCAACCAGGGTTCAAAGACTAGGGTTATATTTATTTTTTTGTGCAAAATTAACGAATTAACCTTGAAATGACCTTGATCCTAACTGGATGAGGTCAAGTGGATTCCAGGTTTGTATTCGGAATACAAAGATACATGACAGTATCCAATAGAAGCCCATCGGACGTCTCAAAAACTAGTTCATATGGATAAAAAGCAAATAAGGTCTATTTATTATTTGTTTGAGCTCTAGATGTCCTTTAAAGGTCATGTTGGAAAAGACCAACAATATCTATTTGAACGTAAAATTTCCCGCTCTTTCCGAATCCGTAGTCAAATTTTAAATTCCGTTGTATTAAATACATTTGACCTTCGAAAGACCTTGAACCTGACGTGATGGAGATCAACGGACCTCGGATTCGTGTTCAGCGCATCGAAATACATAAAAGTTATATGGTCTGGTCAAATAGGCATCAACTTTTTTTATTTTGTAAACCTGTGCTATCATCATGATTATTAATAATACTTGTTTGCTATTTACTCGACTGGTACCTGTTAGTAGCTAATTATGTACTGATATCACACATTATACCGATTTGCGCAAATAACCCTCGTGGAGACACTTCATTGGCTATTTTTATCCTCTACCTCCAAAATTATAAAAAAAAAGAGAGAGCGCTTTCGTTTTTCAGATATAGGTATAAAAGACCGGGATCAATGGTTCTTAATTATTATTGATCGTAGCAATACAAGGCAAAGCAGTCCATAGAGTTCCAATTATAGAGAAGACAATACATCCCATCGTTAACAGATAGTAGAATGACAATACTCGCGAAAGTGCGTTTATTTGGAGGGTCAAATATGCGATGTCCAATTTGAATCACTGTCCACACCTCAAATCTTTTAACTAGCTATCCTTTAATTTTTTATCCTAATTCTTTTAGTAAACACTCTTTAGTAAAGACGCTTTCGTGTTCGCGAACAAAATTCTAAAAACTCTTGCACTCATATTAAAATTTTCCAAAGTAAAAACGACAGCATTTCCCTCTCGACCGAATGATTTCTAGAAAGAGTCCATCATCCTCTTTTAAAATATTTGCAAAATTTTTCCAATAAATAAAATTTTTAAATATTCAATAGGATAGACTATCAGAATTAGCGTAATTCCATTCCATAATTTTTTATTTTGTAAACCTGTGTAGTTAATAAAATGCGGGATTCATTCAGTCTTCTAAATCTATTGAAAAATTAGGATAATTTATCAAATATTTAGAAACAGTGCTTGTCAATTTACAATTATTGGTTTTTCTCCCCTAGATCTTTTTTTTCATTATTTTTGATTTTACTTATTGTTCGTTTAATCTTATTATCTTGGTATCATGGCTGAGTATCTCGGTGGGATTGAGTTTTTTGCTCTCTTTGTCTTTTGGTCTCTAGTAATAGTGTAAAATTATTTATCCTGGTTTATTTAATATGTCCGTTAGTTTCACCCTTCATTTTTGTACCTTGATATTATTATCTGCATCTGCTGATTGGAACGACAGTCATGGTTTGTGATGAGTTATTATCACAAAGTTATTGACACATATATAGTTTCTGATAATTTCAATTAACTCCTTTTTGCTTCTGTTAGTAGGTGTATCAATCCATAATGTAGAATTTTTTCTTCTCTACGCATTGGACAGTCCTCTATTTCTCCAATGATTTCTGACATGTCTTCTATATCAAGCCTGAGACAGTTGATCTGGTTGGCTGCTTTATTATATTTCTCTTCGGCTTTAGCTTTGATATTGTTTTTGAGCGTTATATGAAACACCGAACAATGTAATTTTCATCTGCTTTTTTAGACTCGACTCCGAGAGCTATGCTGACGTTTCCAATGAATAGCTCTATATTAAACTGGTAAATTGGATGGGCTTATCTTTCCGTATCCGTGTTGTTATCACAGGTCTAAGCTATTATGTTTCCTCCCTCAATAAATCCTCATATAAGAACATTATTTCGTCATACGTTGTTATCTCTATGAGAGTAGAGTATAGTTTCTCAGTATCATTGTCGTTTAATATAATAGACTCGTGCATAGAGTAGTTACTTGTAGTCTTTTCTATTGGTTAGATAGCTGTTTTATCGGATCAATTAAGATGGATCCTGTTGATGGATCATTTTAAAGATAACAGAAATATACAACTTTTATCTTTCGATTTTTAAGATCTGCATAGCCTTTCAAAGTTATAACCAATTTAATATAAAAAAA